GTATAGAATATATATGTAGATATCCGCAGGGTCATCATCATAAATTATTATAAAACCCATTTTTTTATTTTGTGTGTTTGAGTTTTTTTTTTTTTATATTTGGATCGGTTTCCTACATTTTTCAACCATTTCAACAAAACTTCACAGGACTAATTAAAATTACTGCGGTGGTTCTAACAGCGCCAAAAATGGGAAAAATACAATTGTTTTTTTTTGAAATCAATTTGAAAACACGATTAAAAAATTTCGCTGTCGCCAAATGAAAAGGGGACAACTCATATCAGTTATATTTCAATGAAAAATTTGATTGTTTGTTTGTCATGGTGTTTGTGTGTGTGTATGTGTGTGTGTGTGTGTTCGTTTATATATAGGATCAGGCTCAACATTTTTCAACAACAATTTCAAATGAAAGGTTCACTTTCTTTTGGACAGGTAGTGTTTCTTATTGTCTTGGCAACAGGACTTTCTTTATTTTACATTCAGAAGTTTTAAAATTCCATTTACAAGACAATTGTTTATAATAAACATTTATTCAATCCCTTAAACTCATAAATTGAAAACCCATGTTTTTAATTAGTTTGACCAATTCGTTAAAAAAAAAAAAAAGCAAAGAACATGAAGCCAAGAATTTAAACAATAATCTTTGTCAATTTTTTTTTTCAGATCTTTATGATGGTCGAATTCCATTACTTTTTATCTATCTTTTACTGTTACATCCCAAGGATTTTAACGCCAAAGGCTCTAATTTTGTGTGTGTAATATGATTAAAATAAAATAGTCTTATATTCAAAAATTGAGATAAATCTAAATATAAGACAAAGTACAATCAAATGTAACCCAAACAAAAATGATGCAAGATTGGAAAAATACAATATGACAGAAGGTGAGATACAAACTAAAATAAATGTGAAACGAAATAATGATCACCCAGGAAATAAAACGAAAGAATCTTAGCTGAGACATGAACAGTTGTACTGATTCAGATACTGGACAGGAATCAAACGACATTAAAGCAAATTTTTGAAAACAACAAAATCCCCATCACTGAACGAAAAACCATAAAATTCAAATAATCAGTAAAGCTGACCCAAAGCAAATGTCAGAAAGACCCATGGTCTCTCAAAAATTTATGATAAAATCTAAATCACATTATTTAAAAAATAATAAAGCTAATTGCAAACATTGCTAAAGAAATGGCCAATTAAAAACATCACAGAAGTAAATAATATCATAAATAATGCAATAATGAAAAATAATAATAATAGCTAATGAAAAACTTAATTTCAAACAAATAAAAGATTAAACACCAGGTAAAAAGCCCAAGAGAAGAAATCATTAAAGCGAAAAAAGATGAAATCATGAAATTATCGAAATAACTAGATGTGATTTCAAATGTCATTTAAATGCCGTCAACACGGAAATGTATGAGAAAGTCAAATATAAAATTAAAACTTAAATGAAATTCCACCAACATTGTTAACTTAAACAGAAACTAAATTAAAAGTCAAAAAATAAATAAATACATGAAAAGCTTTCTAGATTTTTATCTAAAAACTTAATACCTATTCTATTGTAATGGATTAAACAACAGAGAAAAAGAGCCCAAAGTAGCAGTGGCAAATCTGGCAGAATGGAATTGATGTGAGTTAGTGATATTGAAATTTCAAGAAATTCATTTGAAGTACCAAATCATCAAATGGAAAACTAAATTTGCTGCGTCATTGAAACAAAAAAATGAAAGGAGTTCCTAATCACGGAAACCAAAACAGAAACTGCAATATAAGCCCCAGATGAAAATAAGAAAAGCTACAAAGGTTCCATCGGCAAATGAGATATCCCAAACAAGACCTCAAGAAATTTTTACAGGAAATTATAGAAGTCAATAAGCCACCATTTATTGACATTTTGAAAATATTTAGAAGTAATTGGAAAAGGGAAAATAATCCCAATGCAGAGTGGATCAAACGAGAACAAGAAAGAATGAAGGATAAACTTCTACAAGAATGGGAAAATATAAACACGACTAATGTTAGGCAAATTCTACCGAAATTCCCAAAATGGCAATTCCCAGGAAATGACAAGATACCCAACTTTTGGCTATATCATCTGTCATTAATTCATAAAACTCTTGCGCAATGTAAATTAATAACCCCAATGAAATTCCAGAATGGATCGTACCAAAAACGGTGTTATTGATCATGACGGTCGTCTTCGAGTATAGAATCCAGAGGTTAGCAGTGAATATTTCGAAGACAGTACGAAAAATTGTATCAGGTTAGCAGTGGATATTTTTTGGTAAAAGTAGCAGTGCATAGTTCGTCCTTCTGTTATCTCTTCGCCTGACAAGCTGGATTGGACATTCTAATCCAGCATGAATAAAAATGGCCGCCTTTATATTACGACGGATTGAATATTCTACGTCTTCTGATTGTTAACCTTCTATTGGTAGACTATAAAGTGAGTCAAAAATACAATCTTGGCTCACTGATTTATATTATACACAAAAAACTGCAACAACATGATCCAAAGAATATAGCTCAATAACATGTCTATCCACCACATATAAATTGATCACGTCTATCTTGACGAACTGTACTTACTCTTGATGAAAACAACATTCTTCTCCGGAACAGAAGGGATGACGAATAGGTTCATATGGTTGCTGAGATCAAATACTAATAAATAAAATGATCCTAGATTAATGCAAGAAAAAAAGGTAAAAATCTCAGCACGGTTTAGATAGATTACCGTAAAACCTTTGATAGTGTTTATCTTGGACCCTGTTATAACGTTTTTTATTCCTGCAAAAATCTCATCGGTGATAGTAAATTTCCTTATATATAACATGGAACTGTTGAAAACCCCATTATACCAAAATCACATCAAAGGTAATTCCACTTCTAATTGTTTTGCTATCCTCCTCGAAATCTTTCAAGGAATCTTCCTGTCATCCATTCTATTCTGTCTGTCCTAAATCCTCCTTGTGCATGAATTAAAGAATAATTATGGATACAAAGCAAAAACGAAAGTGTTTAATCAACTATTCTACGTGCATGATATCAAACTCGTTGCCAAAAGCGACAATAAATTGAAGGATATCCTCAATACTGTAAAATGTTTCAGTGGTGACATCGATATGGATTTCGGATTAGATAAATCTGCAAGAGCAACATTTAAGAAAGAGAGAATTACAGAAATACATTCAATAGATCTAGATTTTGTCAAAAACATTAGGGCAGTGGAAAAAGACGAAGGATTGTGGGTAATTTTTGTTCTTGTTCCTGGTCCGGGTGTACGCGCCCCGGTCCACGCCTTAAAAAAAGACCTTGTGTCACAACAGAGTAAGACAGAATAAATACCTAGTGTGTAAATTGCTATAAAGTAATTTGTAACACATTATTTATCATCTCTCAGTTGCGTCTATGTCTTTGGGCAGACTGCACTGAAGGGCGACTCTGTCAAAGGACAGATTCGCAACTGAGGAAAATTATAATGAGAGATGACCAGCCTTGGGAATGGGGTTGAGTAAATACAAATTACTATAAAGTAGAAATGGGGCTTTTTAATCTCAGAATTCGTGGGTGAATTGAGTTCGAATTTCGCATTCATTCATAGATTCCATAGATTCCATAATGAAGAAAAATATACGGAAAAAACAAAAAAAAATCCTAATATGCAATTATGCTGTTTTAATGTTAATATAATGTCAACGTCGGACGTTTCGGTCTAGTAGACCATCTTCAGGACATATTCTATATCCATATATTTGCTTAGATTCCATAATAAGGTTTTACTTAATTAACTATTATGTTTCTCTAACTCTTCAAATATTGAATGTATAACTAATTCTAATTTCTATTTTTATACTATATTAATTTTATCTTATAAAGTGTCCCTGCTCTGTCACCCATGAAATAAAAATAATTGTTTGTACGAGAAATAAGGATCTACAATCGTCTTTAAATTAAGTGACAACAGAAGAATTATCGTTGAAAGGTAAGCTTAAACATTAATTCAATACTTATATGCAGCAATCAATTTTGAGTTCTTCTGTAGTGTATTGATGCCTATCACATCTAATCCTCCCTAGCTATTGCGATGATGGCCAAACTAAGAATCCTCCACAAGAGTTAGCTTAAATGCTACTCGATAGGGCGGCTTTTAAGCTAGCTTGAAATTTTAGCTACCTTAAAATTTTAAGCTTAAAAATTATTTAAGCTCGCTGCAATTTTGGATACAAAAGAAAAATAAGAGTTACCCCCCTTGAAAATGAAAGCAACGATAATGGCTAGTATAATATATTAATATATATTTTTAACCATAATCTGTCAACCTTGAATCTGAGCTTAACGAAAATCGTTCCCTGCGCCTAACTTTTCTAGGGCTTTTGAATGAGATATCAATCATTGAAATCGAACCTGTGGGAGCGGAGGAGTTGCTTGGACACACACACACGCACAAACACACACATACACTGTACTTTATATATAAGATACCTCTATGTGTCTATTTTCATTGCTATTTTCTGATTTTGCGAGATGTTAGAGAAAGTATAAAGAATAGAAAAAATGAGTCGAGAAAGCAATTTTGGGGAGAAAAAGGAGGGGGAGAGAAGGGAAGCAGTAAAAGGATGAGGATGACAAATAGAAGAAAAAAATTAGGTATGGATCGGTAGTTGGAACATGCAACATGCAACACAATAAGTGAAGAAATAAGAAAAAAAAGATGGCTCCTATTATAGTGATGAAGATGATGGTGAATATAGGAAAGACAAAAGCTATTAAAGTTAGCAAATAAGATGCAACATACCTGAAGGAAAGCAAATCAATCCATCTATCAAAATGTCGGTAGGACGATGATCAATCATTGTGCGAGATGAGCAGTTATTGTTGACAGTTCCTTCTTGATTCTGTTTCCATAATTTGTAGTCATCACGTCAGCCGATGAGGTCAGTGGTCCACGAATCCGACAAATGATAACCAAACATATCTGGTACCCGGATGTCACTTTTATGTCAGCAAACCTTTATCTGCACATCATTGACTCTTTTTAATTCATTCTTTTCGATTGTAATTCTTTTGTATCGGATTTGTATGTCATTATTTTTTTCTTCCTTTCTTTTTTTTATTTTTTTTCTGTTTTATTTTTCTTTATTTTCTTCTTTCTCGTTTTTTGATCGTTATTTTATTTTACTTTTCTTTCTTTCTTTCTTTCTTTCTTTCTTTCTTTCTTTCTTTCTTTCTTTCTTTCTTTACTCATCATCATATCCATTGGTTTCTTTCTTTCTTTCTTTCTTTCTTTACTCATCATCATATCCATTGGCTTCTTTCTTTCTTTCTTTCTTTCTTTCTTTCTTTACTCATCATCATATCCATTGGTTTCTTTCTTTCTTCCTTTCTTTCTTTCTTTCTTTCTTTCTTTCTTTCTTTCTTTCTTTCCAATCTATTCCTTTCAGTGTATTTCCATTTAAAATCCGATTAATATTTTAAGTTTACCCTTTCTTTCTTTCTTTCTTTCTTTCTTTCTTTCTTTCTTTCTTTCTTTCTTTCTTTCTTTTCTTCCTTCGTTCTTTCTTTCTTTCCTTCCTTCCTTCTTTCTATATTTCTTTCTTTCTTTCTTTCTTTCTTTCTTTCTTTCTTTCTTTCTTTCTTTCTTTCTAATCTATTCCTTTCAGTGTATTTCCATTTCAAATCCGATCAATATTTTAAGTTTACCTTTTCTTTCTTTCTTTCTTCCTTCGTTCTTTCTTTCTTTCTTTCCTTCCTTCCTTCCTTCCTTCTTCTTTCTTTCTTTCTTTTCTTTCTTTCTTTCTTTCTTTCTTTCTTTCTTTCTTTCCAATCTATTCCTTCCAGTGTATTTCCATTTCAAATCCGATTAATATTTTAAGTTTACCTTTTCTTTCTTTCTTTCTTTCTTTCTTTCTTTCTTTCTTTCTTTCTTTTCTTTCGTTCTTTCTTTCTTTCTTTCTTTCTTTCTTTCTTTCTTTCTTTCTTTTGCTTACTTGCATTCGTTTCTTTTCCCTTTCTTTTCTGTTTCCTTCATTTATGTCGTTCAATTTCTTTCTATTAATTTCTTTCTTCTCTTGTTTTGTTTTTTCTTTCTTTTTCTTATTTCTTCTTCCCTTGTTTTCCTTGCTTTTTCCTTCACCTTTCTTTTTCTTTCTTTTCTTTGTTCTTTTGTCATGGTTTCCTTATATTCTTTCCTTGTTTCACTTCCTTCACCTTTTTCTTTCCTTGCTTTTCTTTCTGTTGCTCTTGTCTTTTTATGCCCCTCTTTTTCTTAAATTTCTTTTCTATTTGTCTTCTTTTCTTTCTTTCTTTACATTCTATTTTCCTTTGATTTCTTTTCACTTTCAATTTTTTCCTTTATTTTTATTGTTCTCTTTGGTTTTGCTTTTTTTCTTCTTTTTAAATAAATGAACAATGTTTTTTTTATTATTATTATTTTCTCTTGCTTTTTAACATTTTTTTAAATACATTAATCTTTAATTTTTCTTGCTTTTATTTTTTTTTCATTCATTTCTCTTGATTCATTCTTTTCTTCCTCTCCAAGAAATGTTTTCTTTTACACTTTTTAAAATTTTTTGTCTTTCTTTTATTTGAATTGAATAGGTTTCGTTTGGTTCCATATATATATATATATATATATATATATATATATATATATATATATATATATATATATAATCTCAGGTATTTCCATTTTTTTTCATGTTTAGTTTGTTCTTTTTTAATCCCATTTTCTTTTTTCCACCGTTCATTCCATTCTTTTTCAATTTTGCCAAAATGTCACGCCTATTACTTTGTCAATGAGGGATGGAGTAAGGTTAGTTGCGCCATTTTCGAATTTGATTTCGTGTGGTCGCCTGTCATGCCTAGTTAGAACCCGACTGTCTCAATTGTTCGTGTATTTTACTATTTTTTTAAAAAATTGTTGCTCTAATACAGATAATAAAAATAAGAACAAAAAAGATAGAAATCCCTTTAAAAAGTCTTTGACACTTGCAGTCAAGTTCCGTACAGTTCTTGCTTTCCGAAAGGCTATTATATCGCTAATCGATAGACAGTGGTGGACTTTTGCGAGCAAAATAGTTTTTTTGCAAGCTCATGGAGTTTATTTCATTTTGCTTTTGTTTTCTTATCTTTTACGCATGCGCAAACGAATGTAAGATGTCTGCCAACAACGTCGGTGGGGTCTTGTCAGCTACGATTTTTCAGTTTACAAATCGGAACATCGACTGAACTTTTATATTTATCCATTGATTTTTTTTTTTTATCAAACTCGGATTTTTCTTCAGTCCATAAAAAAGGTTAATATCGCTTTTAAATAGATGCAGCAAAAAAAAAAAAATTTCGTATATTAGATTTGGAATTATTTTTTCCAGTAAGGCAAGGATACACGTATATATTCTTTGTTTCCCAGAATAATGTTTTTAAAAATATTTTAGTAAATGACTATTTTGTGATTTTACTTGAGTAAAATTTCTTTTGACTGGCGTTAAAATTTAGGAGATACCATAATTATTCATCTGAATATGTCTAAGTAATATAGACTGGAGTTGTTTAAGTAGTATGTGTTATTGGTACATATTTAATAGTAGGAACGTATAAAATATACGAAGTTGAATAAAAGAACCAGAATTACGATTCTAGTCTTGAACATAATCTTCTTTCTCAATCTTGGTGCAAGGATCGGTTAAAAAGTGATACCTATTCTTCTTTAATGGCAACAGATCTAATGGAGAAATACAATGCGTATCAAAATGAACGCAAGGTATTAAAATTCTAAGAAACTATTGGGAATCTCTTTTAGCAGGAACCATGCTTGTGAGCGTTCTGCGAGATCTAGCATCTGTTTGAAAGAATCAGGGTTGAAATCATGTTATTTCTTGGACAATCAACACATTGGAACCAAGATGAGAATATTCTGAATGTTCATATGATAAAAAATAACATGCATATAATAGTAAAGAAAAAGAAACTGAAAGAAAATTTTAAAAAAAGTCTATACAGAAAAAAAAAAGGTCCATACGATAGAAACGGGTCTCCATAATAAAATCTAGTCCATACAAAAAAAAAAAAAAACAGGTTCATACAATAAATAGAAAATATATCCGTAAGATAGAAAAGGAAACATGTGTCCATGACAAGAATCTGCTTCATACACGAAAGAAAAAAAAGTCGATGCGATAAAAAAATATTGGAGATAAGCATTCCTTAAAGTTTCCTTAGACTGCGAAACTTGTCAGAATCGAAAAAAAAATATTGATATTTTATCGATTTAGAATGGGTTTCTGTTTATAATATCGATATACAGTGTAACCCGGATATAAGAGAGTTGTCGAGACCGGAGAAGAAGACTCTTATATCCGGGTTTCTCTTATATCCGGGTTTGGTCTATTTTATATACATTAACACAGGCTCTAATTTGGGACCAGAGAAAATCTCTCTTATATCCGGGTTTCTCTTATATTTGGGTCTCTTATATTCGGGTTACATTGTAATATAAAATATTTCCTTGACTTTTACAGATTTAATTCACTTATCTGTTTTGCGTACGAAAAAAAAAATGCGGAGCTTACAATTTTTTTTTTTTTAAGTAAAGAACAAGCAGACATATAAAAGCTGCGGCAGAGATACATCCCATATTTTAAACTATTACCTGTGTGGTGCTATTGAACTTAAAAGTTAAAATGGCGTCTTCATCTGGCTAATGTCTTACAATTTATTTTTAAATTACCATTATGGCTTGGACCAGTGCACACCGTGTGTTTGATGTTGAAACTTCTTCTTAAAACTGGCGAATCTGTAACTGCAACAAAAAGCTTTTTTTTGTGCTCATTTCATGTTACTTCGGAATGATACTGTTCCAGACAGAAAATCGATACTCCTACGGGTTGAAAATTCCAGGGATACAGGTTCAGCCCTTAAAAGAAAGCCACCACGAAGCGCTCGAACTTTCTGGTGATGGAAATCGTCTCCAGCAGCGTATGGCAAATAGAAACCAGCATTTGGAAGATGTCATTTTAAAAATGAAATGAATAAAAACTGTAGCCCTTTGTTTAAACAGAAGTGAAGTCATTTTAATAACAGTTACCTTAGTCTTTTTGTGAACCTTTAAAATATGGGATTTATTTCTGCTGCACCGAGTATATCTATTTATTAAAGAACTAGCTAGGCATAAATGAATGTCAGTAGGCATTCGGTTATTTATTATTTAAGGTAACTACAAGGCTATTCAAAAAAGAAAGACCAGATTTCGAAAATTTAATAAAATCAAATGCTGAGAGACAGAAACACATTTGACACATCACTGGATAGAAAAAGCTTCAAAGTTATTAAAATAAATGTAAATTTTTTATTAATCTAGTTTTAATGCATATTTTTATTGTTTCTTTTTCAGATTTTGTATAAATTTAAATTGTTATAATTTGTGTCAATCCCCACTGTGTACTGCAGTTTGTGAAGTGGAACCATAAAATCTCTATTACTCACTAGAGAGAACCATCCCTGATCCCCATTAGAATGTCTGACGCTCAACTCCACAAGAGCATCTATTTTCGACTGCTCGGTCTCACATTGTCCACTGACCTGAGATGGAAAGAATACATTGAGTCAATAGCTTCGTCCACCGCTAGGACAGTTGGCTTTCTATGCTGCGCCAGGAAATTTTTCTCGCCAGAGTCGATCCTTCAAATCTACAAATCAACCATTCGCCCTTGCATGGAGCATTGCTGCCATATATGGTCTGGAGCCCCTTTTAATTGTCTCAATGTTCTTGATAAAATCCAAAGACGGATATGCAATGTAATTGGCCCTGATCTGGCATCTTGTCTGCAGTCGCTCTCTCACAGACCTGCTGTTGCCTCCCTTTGTCTTTTTTACAAATACTTTCACAATAACTGCTCCGATGAGCTGCTTTCACTGGTTCCCAGACTTCATGAATTTAAGCGTTCAACTAGGCTGGCATCTGGCTCTCACCCTTTCACTGTCGAAACTGTTAAATGTAGCCGTCTCTTCTACTCCAATAGCTTCATGTCTCGCACTTCTCGCCTGTGGAACTCTCTCCCCATTTCATGTTTTCTTGATAACTATAATCTCCAACTATAACTTGATAACTATAATCTCCAACTATTCAAATGTAACGTCAATCGACGTCTCCAGACCGTCTCTTCATCCTTTCCTCTATCACTCCTCTTTGTTCTCGCTCCTACTCTGAAACCCTTTGCGTGCTAGTGGCTTCCCGCCTTACTTGGGGGTTGAATGCTTAAAAGAAATCACAACCTTCAAATCACAATTTACAGGAAATAAAGCTGTTGATAAAAAAATTGAAAAATGTACAACAGAGGACCAGACAATGGTGAGAATCTTTTTCTTATTAAATTTCTTTGGCAATAATTAATGTTTCCTCTTCATCTTCAAAGAGAGAAAGGATAAAGATATGATTTGGTTGTTGAAAATTTTATGAAGCCTTTTCTAATTCATTACTTAGACAATACAAGATGAAATATTGATCAATGTTAATCTACTAAGAGGAAATCATTTTAGCATAAAGGCTTAAAAAATGTTACTATATAAAATATATGAATGGTATTAACATTACACATAAGATTCTTTTTGTCTGAGTTTTTTTGGGATTAATTTCTTGCTAAGAAAATTTGTTTTTTAACTGCTTATGCAAATTTCTTTCTTATCTCATTGATATTATTAATCTAAGAGTTTGGAAGGGGCATGTTAACCCAGTTGCAGTAAAATGGCGAACGGAAGATATCTTTCTAATTCTGGTTAACACTTCCACTGCCATCAACGGTTATTCAAAAAAGAGCAAATTTCAAAAATTTAATAAAAACAAATGATAATAGACAGAAACATATTCAACACATTGCTAGATAAGAGTTCAAAATTTATTAAAATAAGTGAAATATTTTTCAACCTTGTTGAAATGCTTCTTTTTTTTTTCTTTTTTTTGTATAACTTTAAATTGTCCTAATTTATGGAAAAGGGAACCTTGTTAATCGTTTGTAGTCTCTCAAGTCACCAGATCTTACCCAATGTAATTTTTATCTTCCA